TGGACAGGATATTCTGTGTTAGTCAGATTAGAATCTTAATCATGAAGTGAACGTGTTTCTCTGAGTCGACTCAGTTGTTAAACTCACACAGTTGTTTCTCTGAACCAGATCATCAACTATCTTGACCACAGACACGGTAAACTTGAGTGAACAAGATAACAAAGTGATAAAGAAACCGTCTTCAGAGCTGGAGGTCATGATGTTCACCCCATTATAAAGTCTAAAGGACCTTCATGTGTTCATATTCTCCATCCTGTGAAACCATGACTCAGACCTGCCTCACGCTCACACACACACACACACACACACACACACACACACACACACACACACACACACACACACACACACACACAGTAGATATAGATCTTTATAGAGTTCATCCTGTCACCGCTCCTCTCTATAACCAAACAAAAACTCCTGACTGTACCTTTAACTGGGCGCCGTCCTTTTGCGTCATAAGAAAGTGACGCTCCGCCGTCTTGCCGTAGATATAAACTCTAGATGTCTTACGCACGATGTTAGCCAATGGAAACCAATGTCTGCATGTGGCAGCCATCTTGCTACAGTCACCTCGCCCACTCCTAACATTCCAGTCTACGGTTCATGTAACATTTAAATAACCATAGATTGATTGATTTTAATAATCATAGATTGATTAATTTTAAACCGATTTTCAAACAGTTCGGTTTGTAACAAACCTCAAAGTTTTAGTTATGATCCTGTATACTGAAGAATAATTTTAACCATGGATTTACATAAATAAACATTAAACAGATAGGTAGAGAAACAGCTATAGGTCTACACACACAAGGCAGTTATATTAAATCATTTAAATATAATGATGTAAAATTACTGGGTCAACTTTGTAACTTTGGTCTCACTCACAGCGAGTCTGTTAGCCAAGTTAGACAGCTGATAAACACAAGACCATCCACAAAGACTGTCACTTAGACTGAATAAATAAAAAATAGACTGTTATACAATAAATTATCTCGATTGTGGTCTGAGCCATGACAAAGTGACTCAAAGTTAGTCCAAAGTGAAACAACCCACTGAGCATTTTTTGGTCTAATAGATGTCTAAATGTAGTCTAGATGACTGGTCTAAAATCAGGCTACCACAGGTCTAAAAATGAAAGTTTTCAGACGTCTATATTTAGACCGAGTTTAGACTAGCCAGCTAACAGAGGTCTAACTGTATTTTGCTGAACAGCCATCATAATTATTTTGGTTTGGTACTTGGAGATCAGTTATAAACTCACAGCTGCTTTCTGAAATAAATACTTATCGAATAATCGGTTAAAGTGCAACATCTAACTTCTGTCTACAGATAAACAGAATCTAGACTGTTAAATTAAGTCTAAAGAATAACCAGCCGTCTGTTGCTCAGTGGGAACTGTTCTTCATGATTAAGTCTTTTTTTTCTCAAAGTAAATCTGTCATTTTAATATGTCCAAACATCCAGACTCTGAGCCTCGTTATGAAGGTCAGTAATAAACTAAACCGTTTGTAAATCTGTCAGGATTTCAGAGTTAAGAGGATTTCTGATCAAATTACTCCCCTCCTGTAAGCAACCATGGAGAGAACCAGGATGGTATACTGGAGTAACATGGCCGCCGTGACTCCTCCTCATAGAGTCATCTAGCCTGTTTCATATCTATGCTTCTTGCCGCCTTTCTTTAAACATGGCGGAGGCTCCGTCCCTCTCAGCGGCTCTGTTGGGCTCCGTACTCAGTCTGGGGGTCCCTCCGGACCTCGGGGCCCAGATGGCCGAACTGTACCGGGTCCAGTCGAACCTGCTGAGGAGGAGGAGGCTCCGGGAGATGGTGGAGCGGGACCAGAGGAGGAGGCGGTACCTGCGGAGGAGGAGAACCTTCCTGCTCTCCTCTCTGGCCGGGATCCTCAGCCTCATCGCCGGAACCAGGAGACCCGTCTGGGTCGTGGACCGGAGCCCCGGACAGAACCTGTGGTCTGTGGCGGAGAAGTTCGACGATGAGGAGTGGAAGTCTCAGTTCCGGATCTCCAGAACCACCTTCGAGTCTCTCCTCGAACAGCTCGGTCCGGCTGTCGAACGGTGCCGGACCAACTTCCGGGCCCCCATCGAACCGCGCCGCCGCCTCGCCATCGCGCTGTGGTGGTTCGCCCGACCCGGAGAGTACCGGGCCATCGCGGACATGTTCGGGGTCGGGATCGCCACCGTCTGCCTCATAGTCCGGCAGGTCACCGCCGCCATACTGGACCGGATGTACCAGAACTACGTGTCCCTGCCGTCCGGAGACAGACTGGACCAGACCATCCGGGCCTTCAAGGACCGCTGCTACCCTCAGTGTGCCGGGGCCATCGGGGGGACCCACATCCCCATCGCGGCCCCCAGAGAAAACCCGGACGACTACTACAACCAGGGGGGGTGGCACTCTGTGATCCTGCAGGCTGTGGTGGACCAGAACCTGTGGTGAGCAGGTCCAAACGGGTCCATGAAGGACCTGTGATCTGACCCCCACACAGGGGCCACAGTGGGTCCCGGTCCGGTCCAACACACAGGGTAGGGGAGACCGGGGCGTGCTGTCACACTTTTTACACTCTTCGATATTTGAGGGAGAATCAGGAACAAAAACACGTTTAAGACTTTTGAGAATAAAGAGGTGATGAAACGATTATTGATCAGAATAAAGAGGTAATGAAATGATTATTGATCAGAATAAAGAGGTAATGAAATGATTATTGATCAGAATAAAGTGGTAATGAAATGATTATTGATCAGAATAAAGTGTTAAAGTCTCTAAAGTCTTAAACTGCGTTTGAGGAGGAAACATCTTTGTTTGTGAAACTCCTAAAGTTCAGTCGTGGAAACGCTCCACAGCTCCTTTAAACGACTAACAGGTTAAAATATGAGCGACCACTTTATTCTCATTAGTAATTACTAAGTCTTAATGTTTATTTTCTTAATGTGGCCTGATACTCGGTCGTATTCTTGTAGTCAGTCTATCAGACTAAAGACCAAAGTCTCAGGTTTAAACTTCATCTTCACGTCGTTTTCTCGTGTCAGTGCAGAGTCTGAACCAATCAGAGAGCGGGATCATGGTCGTCGTCTCCCTACATGGGGTTAAATGTCTCAGTGGATTTTACTGCTAATAAAACTAAATTATTGTTGTTTTTTTTAACTTTAAAGTGAAAATTAAAGTCAGACACAGAAAATGTTCATCACTGAGTTTTTAAACAAACGTTAATTTAAAATATGATGTAACCTGCTCTGGAGTCTGTAGATCTGTCTGACTCTGTGTGAATGTTTTACTGAGCTGAGGTCGTCGACATTTAAGTCTTAATTATCCTCCAGACTGATTTATTATCGAGGGTCTACGTCTGACTGTCCTCAGCGTCTCGTCAGGAACTGAACTGACATGTTCAGTTCGTCTCCTCTCTGTCTAAATAACGTCTGTATGATAACTGTCGACTCTGTGTTCATTTTAATCCTTTTAAACATGTAAAAACTAACCCTGAAATAACTGAGACATGTTTCTCTAAACGACCGTGTTCGATAATTAAAGCTTTAAAGTGAGTTTAAAACAGAATCAAAAAAGATTATTTTAAAATATTTAAAGTTAATTTTTTACTTTAAATATTTTAAAATATTTAAAGTTAATTTTTTACTTCGGGTTGTTTGAAACAGTTAATTGACGCTCTTCTCAGACAGGACACGCCCCCGACCATGTAAGGAAGAAAACTAGTATTCCACTTTTAGTTGCGCCCTCTGGTGGCAATGTGACAACTTACCCATGTGACAACAAGCCCCGGTCTCCCCTACTTCACTAAATCAGAACCAGCATGTTTGAGTCCAGTATCCCAAGATTCTGGATCAGAGTTCAGAACAGGACCGTCAGAAACCACATCAGGTCCGTTACTGTCAGAGGTGAGCAGGTCCAGGTGATCCAGGTGACCTCTGCGGGTCTCTGAAGCACCAGAACCCGTCTGTTCAGTTCTAGATGAAATGAGGGTTTACGGGTGATCCCAGAGGTCCAGTACCAGGTTCTGGTGTTTGCAGAATCCTGAGTGAACATGTCTGCTGGTCCTGCTCTGCTGTTAGTCCACTTTCACTCAGGTGACAGAACCGGGTCAGAGTGGACCGGTCCTCACGGTTCTGACCCGCTCTTGTTTCTCCTCCTCAGTTTCACCGACGTTTACGCTGGCTGGCCCGGCAGCACCTCCATGGCCTCGGTTCTGTCCAGCTCAGACCTGTACCTGAAGGCAGAGGACCGGCCCGATGGTTACCTGTTCCCTAGAGAGGTGAGGGCGGCCCGGGTTCTATCGGTGAGCGGTTCTGGTTCAGTCTCACACCTGCGTTCTCGCTCTCTCTCTCAGAAATCCATCATGTCTGAAGGCGTGGAGATCCCGGTCCACCTGATCGGGGACCAGTCCTTCCCTCTGAAGCCGTGGTTGATGAAAGGATACGGTCCGAACCACCAGCTGTCCGCCGAGCAGCGCCGCTTCACCTACACGCTCAGCTCCGCCCACTCTGTGGTCGACACCGCCTTCACGCGCCTGAAGGGCCGCTGGAGGTGTCTGCTGAAGAAGAGGGAGATCGACGTGTCCATGATGCCGCGCGTGGTGGCGGCGTGCTGCGTCCTCCACAACATGTGTGAGCGGCTGGGAGACCACTTCCTGCCCGAGTGGAACGTAGACGTCGACCCCACCGCCATGAGACAACCGGACGCCGAGCCGTACCAGGGAGACACGTACTGCACCGCCGAGGTCATCAGGGACGCCATCACCTACAACCTGCTCAACATACTGCAGTACTAGACTGTATACTGCAGTACTGAACTCTATACTGCAGTACTGAACACTATACTGCAGTACTAGACTGTATACTGCAGTACTGAACTCTATACTGCAGTACTGAACACTATACTGCAGTACTGAACACTATACTGCAGTACTGAACACTATACTGCAGTACTAGACTCTATACTGCAGTACTAGACTCTATACTGCAGTACTGAACACTATACTGCAGTACTGAACACTATACTGCAGTACTAGACTCTATACTGCCATACTAGACTATATACTGCAGTACTGAACACTATACTGCAGTACTGAACACTATACTGCAGTACTAGACTATATACTGCAGTACTGAACACTATACTGCAGTACTGAACACTATACTGCAGTACTAGACTGTATACTGCAGTACTGAACACTATACTGCAGTACTGAACACTATACTGCAGTATTAGACATAATACTGCATTCCCAGACTCTATACTGCAGTACTGAACACTATACTGTATACTGCAGTACTGAACACTATACTGCAGTACTGAACACTATACTGCAGTACTAGACTGTATACTGCAGTACTGAACACTATACTGCAGTACTGAACACTATACTGCAGTACTAGACTCTATACTGCAGTACTAGACTCTATACTGCAGTACTGAACACTATACTGCAGTACTAGACTGTATACTGCAGTACTGAACACTATACTGCAGTACTGAACACTATACTGCAGTACTAGACTGTATACTGCAGTACTGAACACTATACTGCAGTACTGAACACTATAATGCAGTACTAGACTCTATACTGCAGTACTAGACTCTATACTGCAGTACTGAACACTATACTGCAGTACTAGACTGTACACTGCAGTACTGAACACTATACTGCAGTACTGAACACTATACTGCAGTATTAGACATAATACTGCATTCCCAGACTCTATACTGCAGTACTGAACACTATACTGTATACTGCAGTACTGAACACTATACTGCAGTACTGAACACTATACTGCAGAACCAGTCTCTGCACTACAGTATTAGACTCCTTACTGCAGTACTTGACTCTATACTTAAGTACTAGACTCTATACTACAGTATTAGACATAATACTGCATTCCCAGACTCTTTACTGCAGTACTGAATACTATACTGTAGTATTTAAGTGTTGTACTTAAGATCTGAGCATTATACTGCAGTATTATACATAATAATGCAGTACTGCACTGCTACACTGTACTACTGAGCACAAAACTGCAGTCCTTAAAACTGCAGAGTTTTAAACTGCAATACTGAACTCTAAACTGGAGTACTGACCAGTGTACTGCAGTATTTACACAGAACTTCACAGTATTGAACACTGTACTGCAGTAGTGCACATAAACAGTATTAAAGACAAACTGCAGTACTAAAGGTAAAACAGTCACTTCCTGTACTCTGTAGTGGTCGTCCCCACATGACTGCAGTCATTCCTCATATCTGAATAAATGTGAGTGAAACTGTGTCTGTTTATTCTACCAAACAACATGCCTGGACTAACTCTCCAGGAACAGTGAGTGTTCAATGATCCAGCTGAGTCATCATCAGAAAAAAACTCTTTACTAGAGCTTTAATAAGGACAGGATCCCCAAACTCAGACCAGTTCTGCAGACTAACCTGTGATGGAGTTTTTCTACTTCTAATAAAATCTTTTAAACCAGTTTGACTCAGTATTAAACCAGTTTAACTCAGTATTAAACCAGTTTGACTCTGTATTAAACCAGTTTGACTCTGTATTAAACCAGTTTAACTCAGTATTAAACCAGTTTGACTCCGTATTAAACCAGTTTGACTCCGTATTAAACCAGTTTAACTCCGTATTAAACCAGTTTGACTCCGTATTAAACCAGTTTAACTCAGTATTAAACCAGTTTAACTCTGTAATAAACCAGTTTGACTCTGTATTAAACCAGTTTGACTCAGTATTAAACCAGTTTGACTCAGTATTAAACCAGTTTGACTCTGTATTAAACCAGTTTGACTCAGTATTAAACCAGTTTAACTCAGTATTAAACCAGTTTAACTCAGTATTAAACCAGTTTGACTCTGTATTAAACCAGTTTAACTCAGTATTAAACCAGTTTAACTCTGTATTAAACCAGTTTGACTCTGTATTAAACCAGTTTAACTCAGTATTAAACCAGTTTAACTCAGTATTAAACCAGTTTGACTCTGTATTAAACCAGTTTAAATCAGTATTAAACCAGTTTGACTCTGTATTAAACCAGTTTGACTCTGTATTAAACCAGTTTAACTCAGTATTAAACCAGTTTGACTCAGTATTAAACCAGTTTGACTCAGTATTAAACCAGTTTGACTCTGTATTAAACCAGTTTGACTCAGTATTAAACCAGTTTGACTCTGTATTAAACCAGTTTAACTCAGTATTAAACTAGTTTAACTCTGTATTAAACCAGTTTGACTCTGTATTAAACCAGTTTAACTCAGTATTAAACCAGTTTGACTCTGTATTAAACCAGTTTGACTCTGTATTAAACCAGTTTAACTCAGTATTAAACCAGTTTGACTCTGTATTAAACCAGTTTAACTCAGTATTAAACCAGTTTAACTCTGTATTAAACCAGTTTGACTCTGTATTAAACCAGTTTAACTCAGTATTAAACCAGTTTGACTCTGTATTAAACCAGTTTAACTCAGTATTAAACCAGTTTAACTCTGTATTAAACCAGTTTGACTCTGTATTAAACCAGTTTAACTCAGTATTAAACCAGTTTAACTCAGTATTAAACCAGTTTGACTCTGTATTAAACCAGTTTAAATCAGTATTAAACAAGTTTGACTCTGTATTAAACCAGTTTGACTCTGTATTAAACCAGTTTAACTCAGTATTAAACCAGTTTAACTCAGTATTAAACCAGTTTGACTCTGTATTAAACCAGTTTAACTCAGTATTAAACCAGTTTGACTCTGTATTAAACCAGTTTGACTCTGTATTAAACCAGTTTAACTCAGTATTAAACCAGTTTGACTCTGTATTAAACCAGTTTAACTCAGTATTAAACCAGTTTAACTCAGTATTAAACCAGTTTGACTCTGTATTAAACCAGTTTAACTCAGTATTAAACCAGTTTGACTCTGTATTAAACCAGTTTGACTCTGTATTAAACCAGTTTGACTCTGTATTAAACCAGTTTAACTCAGTATTAAACCAGTTTAACTCAGTATTAAACCAGTTTAACTCAAATTAAACCAGTTTAACTCAGTATTAAACCAGTTTGACTCTGTATTAAACCAGTTTGACTCAGTAATAAACCAGTTTAACTCTGTATTAAACCAGTTTGACTCTGTATTAAACCAGTTTAACTCTGTATTAAACCAGTTGCTCCTAATGAACTGTTCTGTTGTCGGTTATATTCACAGAAGTGAGAGGTAATCCTCCGTTACACCGTTTTTTTAATGAGTTAAACTGTTAAAGCGGCAGAAAGCAGCTTATTTTCTGATTTTCTGGTTCATTTTCAGACAGAATTTGTGTTTTTTACTGAACTAAAGTTTGATATAAAAGGATTTCGAGTAAAACTGTTTTATTTTCAGACAGGACATCTTTAAAATCACCGTCTGTCTCCTTAGAAACTCTTTTCCTCCCTCCGACACCGAAGAAGAAGAACCAAAACAACCGGAAGTAGTAGCGCTTTGATTGACAGCTGACCCACCCACTCGTGCCTCTCTACGCACGTTAAGTGGGCTGAGCTGACTTACGCTGTTCGGTGTATTCTGCACGTTAGTTTACGCACGGATGTGACGTCATGGCGTGTGTATGTGGGCGGCCCTTACGCCGTTGTCGTAGCAGCAGCAGCTGTCAGTCAGAGGACATTTAAACGGAGAGAAGAAGAAGAAGAGCAGCTATTACTATTATTACTACCGTCGGTTCTGACCCACTTTACCTGACCTCCAACAGTTCGGTCCGGTCCGTGTGTCTACAATGAGTGAAGAGGAGGAGTCTGTGCAGAAAGCCCGAACCGGGTTCGAGGATCTGTGCCGAGCTCTGAATATGGACGAAGAGGCGAGTACCGAGGCTTGGAGGACCTACGAGACCATCAGCAGAACCTTCACCTTAGAGGTACCGACACCAGAACAGGGCCGGGGTTCTAGAACCTTCACCTTAGAGGTACCAGAACAGGTCCGGGGTTCGAGGGTTCTGTACAGTCCGCTGTGAACCTTCAGTCCTTTAATCTTTAATATTCTGAGTTTATTATTAAACTACAGAGATCAGAACAGAACCTCCTTTATTGGACCGACAGTCCTGATTACTGATCAATACTCTGACTTTATCATTAAACTAATATAAGATCAATACTCCTGTATTAGACCTACAAAGAGGGAAATTACCGTTAATCATCTATAATCAATACATCTATAAGATCAGAGGTTCTACAGTGGATCTACTCAACCAGGTGAACTCTGGATTACACCAGTATAACCCTGTAGTAAACCAGTTTAACTCAGTATTAAACCAGTTTAACTCTGTTTACACCAGTATAACCCTGTAGTAAACCAGTTTATTTTAGTATTAAACCAGTTTAACTCTGGATTACACCAGTATAACCCTGTAGTAAACCAGTTTAACTCAGTATTAAACCAGTTTAACTCTGTTTACACCAGTATAACCCTGTAGTAAACCAGTTTATTTTAGTATTAAACCAGTTTAAGTCTGTATTACACCAGTATAACCCTGTAGTTAACCAGTTTAACTCAGTATTAAACCAGTTTAACTCTGGATTACACCAGTTTAACTCAGTATTAAACCAGTTTATTTTAGTATTAAACCAGGTTAACTCTGGATTACACCAGTATAACCCTGTAGTTAACCAGTTTATTCCACAACTGCACCAGTTTAACTCAGTATTAAACCAGTTTAACTCTGTTTACACCAGTATAACCCTGTAGTAAACCAGTTTATTTTAGTATTAAACCAGTTTAACTCATTTTTAAACTGGTTTTGTACTAAGTTATGTCACTCAGTATTACACCAGTATAACCCTGTAGTAAACCAGTTTAACTCTGTTTACACCAGTATAACCCTGTAGTAAACCAGTTTATCCCACAATTGCACCAGTTTAACTCAGTATTAAACCAGTTTAACTCATTTTTAAACTGGTTTTGTACTAAGTTATGTCACTCAGTTTTACACCAGTATAGCCCAGTATGAAACCAGTATAACTCAGAGTTAAACCAGTATAACTCAGAGTTAAACCAGTTTAACTCAGAGTTAAACCAGTATAACTCACTTTCTGGGGTTTAAAGTTTTACTGGTCTGTGTTTGGACCCTGGAGGACTGACATAGAGACCTCTGTTTCTCTCCCCTCTTTATTTCCTCACCCCCCTCTCTCTCTCTCTCTCTCTCTCTCTCTCCCTCTCTCTCCCTCTCTCTCTCTCTCTCTCTCTCTCTCTCTCTCTCTCTCTCTCTCTCTCTCTCTCTCTCTCTCTCTCCCTCTCTCTCTCTCTCTCTCTCTCTCTCTCTCTCTCTCTCTCTCCCTCTCTCTCTCTCTCTCTCTCTCTCTCTCTCTCTCTCTCTCTCTCTCTCTCTCTCTCTCTCTCTCTCTCTCTCTCCCTCTCCCCCCCCCGTACTGGTTTCCAGGGTAACGAGCGTCACTGGTTGGCCTGCTCCCTGTACGTGGCGTGCCGGTCCTCCTCGGTGCCCACGGTGGGGAAAGGAACCAGTGAGGGGAACTACGTCTCTCTGACCAGAATCCTGCGCTGTTCTGAGATGAGGTGGGTGGGTTAAAGCGGTCCGGACCGCCCTGACGGTGGTCTGTGTTTGTGGTTCTGATGACCCGGTCTCATGTTGTCCCGTCTGTCCTCCTGCAGTCTGATCGAGTTCTTCAGTAAGATGAAGAAGTGGCAGGACATGGCCAACCTTCCCGCTGATTTCCGTCAGAGCACCGACAAACTGGAGCGGAACTTCACCGTGACCGCCGTCCTCTTCAAGAAGTTCGTCCCCATCTTTAAAGCCATCTTTAAGGCGCCGTCCGAGGAGCCGCCGCGCGTCCACCGCAGCCGCAAACAGAGGTGAGGAGGACGGGAGGAGGGAGGAGATCTGAGAGGTCAGGAGCTCTTCTGTGAAGGTCTGACCTTTGCCCTCTCTGTCCTGCAGACGTCACCCGTGCACCGTCACCGAGGTCTTCAACTTCTGCTGGGTTCTGTTTGTCCACGCCAAAGGTAAAGATCGGCGTCTGCGCTCCTGTTTCCCAGCCTCCCTCAGGTGATGTTTGGGCAGGTCCAGACTCGTCCACCTCAGCTGGACTTCTGAGCTCCATGGAGACGGTTCCTTAGTGACTCTGTTTACCCGTCAACTCAGCAGGTTCCTGTAGGCCCGCCTCCACAGAGCGGCGGTTCCTCTGGAGCTCCTCTCTTCTCCTCCTTCAGATTCAGGAGCTCTTTCTCTCTTAAAGGGATATTTCAGAGTTTTTGAACCTAAATATTACGAGGATGTGTGTTAGCTCCGCCCCTTTACTGAGGAACCGCAGAGAGAACCAGAACCAAGACTAGACTTCAGGGCAGACCCTCTTCCCCGTGTTCGGACTTTGAAATCCTCCTCTTCTTCTTTCTCCTCCAGGGAACTTCCCGATGATCAGTGACGACCTGGTGAACTCGTACCACCTGCTGCTGTGCGCCCTCGACCTCGTCCTCACCAACGCTCTGCTGTGTAACGCCAGGAAAGACCTGCTGAACCCCGAATTCAAAGGTACCCGCCACGGCGTGCACACAGACACTGAACCTTCTGATGCTCCTCTGAGCGAGAAGGTCTCATTTCTAAATGTTCTGATGAAGACAGAGTGAGGGTCACAGGAGCTGAAGGAACCTCAGACCATGACATGAACTTTGGTGAAAAAGTCTGAAACACGATGGAGCGAAGGACGGAGGAAGAGTGTTTATCAGAGAGGAGGAGAAAAAAACACACAAACATAAATCAGAGAGTCAGAGAGTCTGAGCGAGCGAGCATTATCAGGAGCAGACTGTCATCCTGTGTACACCTGCTGTTTCCTCTGACACACACACACACACACGCACACACACACACACACACACACACACACACACACACACACACACACACAGGACATTGATTGTTCTGCTGAGAGAGGAAGTCGCTCCTTCAGCCTCGACATCAAAATTTACACCGACGTTTTAATTCTGGTAAGAATCCAAACTGCAGCGCCGACTTTAAAGGGAGATTCCACCGTTTTTAAAGGGAGATTCTGGCGTTAAATTAGTTTATGGTCAAACCCACCGTTTTTAAAGGTCTGAGGAGCCATAAACAAACCTCAACCAAAACGCCACTCTATAGCCACAAATAATGCTCAGAACAGCACCTAACTTCATCAACAGGACATATAGGGTCACAGACATAGTACTATATTCAGAGTTGTTCTAACTCCTAAGAAAACATAAACTTAAGCGGGGGCCTTTCTCCGCGTCTGTAGTCTATAAGCTGGGCCAATAAACTTCTACTGTAGTAAAATGAAAAAGGTAAAGGTGTTTTTATTAAACCGAATTATCAATAAAATCATGATTTTGTTAACAGGTATGGATTTATGTGCTGTCGAGTTAATATATTTGAACAGGAGCACAGTAAAGTTAAATCAGCTAATTTTCCAATGAGGTTTTGTTACTGAACGGAACTACACCATGTTCTACTGAGGTTAGTACATATAGGGTCACAGACATAGTACTAGACACCAAACGTCTTTTTAACTTTGACTCATTTCTTTAGCAAAGAGACTAAACACAACTCACCTACTCTCTTCCAGCAGACGCTTGTTTGTAGAGAGACCTCAGGCCAGTCCATTACAGACTACAGCGGGGTGCCGCAGCTCAAGGAAGAACATTTATGATCATTTCTTCATGGAAATACAATCAGACCGAGACGCTAAGACAGAAGAACTACAGCGTCTGTAAAATGATCAATATGGTGATTATTACTTCAAGGAAATGATAAAGAAATGATCATAAATGTTCTTCCTAAATGTCGACAACATTCATCTCTGGAGGGGCGGGGTCTAACTCGGTGTTACGGTGGGTTTGACACTAAATTAGTTTTACTCCAGAATGTCCCTTTAAAGGAGTCTCCTGTCTGTAATATTCCCCCTGGTGGATGGAGACAGTCACTCAGTCAAAGTTGTGTTTTTTGTCCCTGACAGGTTCAGGTAGTTCAGGGTGGGGTGGGGGTGTCCCTGCTGGTCTCCTGTGGTTGTATCAGGACTCTGTAATCCTCTATGGTCTCTGTGTTTTCACCCTCTCTGTCGTGTCCTGCAGGTCTCCCTGAAGACTTCAGCTGCAGAGACTTCAGGCCGTCCTCAGGTCCCCTCTGCTTCATCAAGCAGCTCTGTGAACTTCATGACGGTCTGGTCCTGGAGGCCAAAGGAGTCAAGGAGCACTTCTGGAAACCCTTCATCAAGAAACTCTTCCATAAGAAGGTTTCAACCTTTCTTTGCTCTGAGGGCCTCAGGTCCTGAACTTCATCAGACTGGACTCTGTCTGCTCTGGTCCATAAATCTGACCCGCCTCTGGTTTCTCTCTCAGATCCTCAGAGGAAAAGAAGACGGTCTGAGTGGTTTTCTGGACCCCATGAACTTCACCGACAGTTTGTGAGTGTGGTCTTCATACTGACCCTCATGGATCAGACAGGAGCTCAGTCAGGACCTGTAGTTCCGTTCAGTAACAGAACCTCATTGGAAAATTATCTGATTTAACTTTACTGTGCTCTTGTTCAAATATATTAACTCGACAGCACATAAATCCATACCTGTTAACAAAATCATGATTTTATTGATAATTCGGCTCAATAAAAACACCTTTACCTTATTGGCCCAGCTTATAGACTACAGAAGTGGAGAAACGCCCCGCTTAAGTTTATGTTTTCTTAGGAGTTAGAACAACTCTGAATATAGTACTATGTCTGTGACCCTATATGTCCTGTTGATGAAGTTAGGTGCTTCTCTGAGCATTATTTGTGGCTATAGAGTGGCGTTTTGGTTGGGGGCGTGGCTCTCTGTATTTCTATCCTGCGGTCGTTACTAAAGTTGGTATAACTAGAGAAGGAAGCGGTCGACAACATTCATCTCTGGAGGCGGGGTCTAACTCGGTGTTACGGTGGGTTTGACCATAAATTAGTTTTACAGCAGAATATCCCTTTAAAAACGGTGGACTATCCCTTTAAAGGGCAGCTCCACAGTTTTTTAGCGCCCCTCAAACACTGATCAAGAACCCGATCCTCGCTGTTTTCACTGACTCCACTTTAATCCACTCTATATCTGTCTCCTTGGACCCCTCCTTGTCTCCTTGTCTCCTTCTCTGTCTCCTCCCCCATCTTTAGCCTGTCTCTGGGTCGGGTCTATGAGGAGCACATTTTGGCCACCGGCGGTCTGGATGAGCGGATCTTTACCGGTGAGGGGGCGAGTGAGGACATCGGTACTCCAGGACCCTGCCTGTGTGAGGGGGTGGAGAACCAGGACAGCGCCACCTACAGGCTCCACGCCAGTCTGACTGTAAAACATATTTTTACATGAATCTTGGTGGTTATCGCTGTAAACGATCAAAATACCGGATAATCGACCCGTTTCTCCCTCCTCTCCTCAGGCCTCCGCTCTGAAGGTCTCCACCCCTCTGACGGGGAGGAAGTACGTTCAAGAGAACAGCCTGGCGTCCCCGGTGTCGTCCGCCATGAAGAGCGTGGGCCGTCTGCACACGCTGCTGTCAGGAACCAAACACGGACCCAGCGCCAAGCTGACAGAGACTCTCAGGTAGGTTTGTGATGATCCGCTCTCTGAAAAACGCAGATGTTGCTCCTGAACCTGGAGATCTTGTTCCTCGTTAATGGATCCTGTGTCTCTGCAGAAACTGTGCCAGAGACCCCAGTGATGTCATCAGTAAGCGCCTGAAGGACATGTCGGAGCTCTTCTGTCAGCACTTTGAGGACGGCGGGGTGGAGAACCGAGGGATGGGCAAAGGTACAGAAGCACAAACTCACCAAAGTCAGGTCCGACCCAAACTCTCCGAGGTCTTACATAAACTCCACCCCTCTGCAGACATGGCAGTGAAGTACTTCCACCTGGCGGAGGCGCTCTACTACAGGATGCTGGAGTCCATCATCGAGAGAGAGAAGATGATCCTGGGAGACGCCGACCTCTCTGTGAGTGTTTGATCCTGCAGAG